GTTTACATAAGACAAAGAAATGAAAAATACATATATTAAGCAGAGCCGTGACAACGTGGTGGATGCCCTAAACAAAAAAAATGAAAACTTTAGTTCATAATAAAAATCATTAAGCTTCATCGTCATAAGTAAATAAAAAAACTTAAATAATTTGATATTTTTGACTAATTCTATTTTAATGGATAAGATATCGAACTCAGGTTTTACTAGATAAAAATTAGTAACTCAACTTAACGACCATAATTCATCGGAAAAAACATGAATCAAAAAATTATATCAGTGCGAAACTTTTGATTTTAACATTTTGAATATAACATGACATAAGATAGAACCAACTTTTATGTTTATCTTAATATTTTAACAATAAATTATTGTTTTTTTTAAGAAAAATAAAAAATGTTTATATCCTAGAGTTTATGTTTTGTTTACTAACGAAATTATAATTAATAATGTACTATTTAAATAAAATTAAGAGTAAAAGATGCTCTTGAATATTTTCAAAAATTTTTTGATACCCTAGGTCAATGCTTATTTTTGTTCTAGTATGTTATTAAGAAAAGAAATGGTTACAAATTCCAAAAATTAAGAGAAACAACAACTAATAGGAGATGATTTTTACTTTATTTTTTGGTCGAACAATCTATTTTCTTATGAAATTGGATACGAAATTGGGAAAATAATAATTATCATGTAGTCAGTAATATTATATACGTATGTAATTGTACTTGTAATTCTGACCACAAATATGTAGATACGTGTGAATAACTTGCCATACACGTGGTCCATGTTCAAGTATTCCACCTTCGTCAATAAACACTTCAACAACCATTTTTATGCCTTCAAAAAGACTTAAACTCCCTCTCTTCTTTTCTTTGTCGACACCAAACTTTACTACTCAAAACAAATAAATCAAATCACATTATTTCATTTTTATAACTGTGAACGTTTCCTTAACCGATTAGCTTCGATCTATCACCTGATCGGATTTGATTCGAGCCGAACCTAAACTAATCGCTTGAGCATAAAAGAAAAGACACTCGAATCTGGGGTTTAGTGCCGACTCCAAAG